TACGACTGCTACGACTTCTATTGTAGACCCCGCATTAAGATCCGTCTACAATGAAATTGGCTGTAAGCCGTAAAGAAGTAGGACGTAGACCCCGCATTATGCACTGCAAGTACTGAAAATCTGTAGTGCACGTTAAGCCCGTATCAGACTACCGACTCTGCAGGCCGACTGCCAACTCTGACTGCCGTTCAATAATAATGGACCAATCACAATAAGACTGATTCAATGTGATTGGTCCATTATTGGTCAACAGCCAGAGTTAGCAGTCGGGTCGGCTTGCAGAGTCGGTAGTCTGATACGGGCTTTAGCCGTATCGTTAATCGTGCATGGACTGTGAACATTAATATAGAAAGGTAGTCATTTCTCATTTTGTGAAAATTTCCGAGGGACAGAATCAATATTACCGTGGGTATACTTTAGAAATCTAGACTTTATGCACGCCAATATATCAACGCCAGAATCTTGACATTCGTGAGGCTGGAATCAGGCCGGAATCAGATTACGCATTGAAGATTGAGGTTAAAGATTGAAAAATTCAAATTTGACCAATCGAAATGAAAGGAGCTATTGTCCTTATTGGTCAAATTTCAATCTTCAATCTTCAACCTCAATCTTCAATGCGTAGTCTGATTCCGGCCTCAGACTACGCATTGAAGATTAAGATTGAAGAGTGAAGATTGAAATTTGAGGACAAAGGAATTTTAGCTTCTATTGTTTTGATTGGTCAAATTTCAATCTTTTAATCTTCAATCTCACTTCAATGCATAGTCTTATTCCGGCTTGATAGCAAGCTGGGTATCAATCATGAAACTTTATCCCTAAGATAGAAAGTGAAAAGTGAAAATTTTTACTATTGAAGTTAATGGAAAAGTTTTTCACTTTTCATTTTTCATCCTAAGAAAAAAATTTCATGATTGATACCTTGGTCATCGACGAGATATTATTAAAGACCGATATCCTTATGGGAGTTCGCGTCCTTGTTAATATTGAAGTGATTAATGTCTGTATTCATAGTAGGGCCTTATATTTAAGGCTTCCTTAAATTTATCTTTAGATACTCTACGAATTATTTCATTGGCTACTGAGCATCTAAAGATAAATTTAAGGAAGCTTTAAGTACAAGGTTTGACTATGAATATGGGCATAAGAGTAAAAAAACTGATAATATTGTACTAATTTTATGATTTATTAGTTTAGTAGACATGTTTAACGGTGTACATGCATTTAAAACTCAATAATACTCGATTTTTCTTTAAAATTGTGATTTCAGTGTCATCGTCAAAGTTCGATTATCAACAGAGATAATAACTGCAGAGAAAAAAATTGTAATTTTTCGGCAATATATAGGATATTATAGCTTTACAAATATGCATATTTATTTATAGAGCATTTATGTAATAAAATATCATGAATTTAATAACGTATTAGTCAAATATTTATGTTAATAATAGCAAATTTATATCAATTGTCGATAATGTCAGCGTTCTTCGATTACTTCCGGACCCTTGGAGCCCTTTTTATACCGCCGAAAATTTGTCCAGAGTTGACGGTCTTTAATAGTATCTCGTCGGTGCCCTGGTGTAGCTTCTCTCACTTTCATATTCGCTTCTCTCACTCTCATATCCGGTTTCATAACGTCATGGCAGAACCAATCACGAATCGAGTCGGCGTTGGCCGATTTCTACTCACCTATGGCTGCGTTCAGCAGAACGTTTGTTTTGCAACTGTTGGAAGTTTCCTTCGCGCTGATTGGATCATACTTTTAGATCTAGAAGAATGGTCCTATCTCAGCAGACAATCATAAAACGGTTGCAAAACTGTTGAGTCTGCTGAACGCAGCTTATGTACTTGTGTTTTAAAAATCCATCTACTTACTCAAAGGTTAAAGACAAAAGTCGATCTCCAATAAAGAATGAGTGGAACATCTTTGAATCAATTGAGCATTGCTTGTTGGTATGTTGCTGACGTTGCTGACATATATATATGTATGGAATAGCATGATGGAATAGTATGTACCGTATGTATGCCGGTTGTCCAAACTGCGGTTAACCTGTGCTAACTTCAGTGAATGTGCAGGGAATTGTACACATAATTTATGTAAATTCTCGCTGTGAGAAAAGAAAGAAAAGGGATAGGTGTCTATGATTATTCCTAAATTTTTCAGTAACAATGGGTTAGTATCAGCGCTTTGAAGTTATATTTTTAAATTACCGAATATTAGTAGAAAAAATTTAACAAGAACTTGCATGTTATAAAAGGAATTATCAATTGTCAGGTAATATTTCAATCTCGTCGCGATCTGGTAATTTTATTAAATTAACTAATACTAATTGCTTGGGTTTCCAAGAATAAATCCTATACACGAAAAATGTCTGTAATTGTTTCTGCAATTATTAGTGCATCAGCAATATTATATATGTAAGGCAAAAGGATAATGATTTTTATTTATCTTTTGTTACTCTTTAATATTATTGATAACATTAATATTATATGTTGATGTTACAGCTGTTAACAGTGGAATGTCATTCATGCTGTCATCGATATTGGTAGTGTTACTATTCTCTGGTATGCAGATGTACAAAGTCTGGCTCAGCTCGTCACAGTTGGGAACCATTCTCGGAGGATTAATCGGATCTTTGTTGTTCATGTGTACATTGACTGCTGTAGGAAACCTTGAAAGTACCTTATTTGGAAAGTCTTTTCAACAGAAATTACTCCCAGAAGGTATATGGAAACTGACAGAAGAAAGTCTCTTAAAAGTCAAATTAATTAAATTGGCAAATTTTTTAATTTTAATATCAGATATATAATTAGTGTAAAGTCTTGAATTTTTTTCTCCTTTTTATTTCATAGGATTTATCAATTTGGCTTTTGAGAGATTCTTATATTGCAATTGTGATGTATTTAATATTATAAAGTGAATTATTTAAGTAGATAGTATACAAATAGTTTTTAAATGATATATGTAAGCTGATATGTCTTTGTTTTGTTACAGTGATTTTCTCATTGACTTTAAGTCTAATTGCTTCTGCCCTAATCCACCGTGTGTCCACTACAACTTGTTTAATATTCTCTCTGGTTGCACTGTATTATATGAACAGAATTTCTCAGGAAACGTACGGCGTGTCTATACAAAATACAGTCATGCAATCCAAGAAACGCAAGTGAATAAGCATAAGGATATTTGTGTGACATATCTTTTTACTATCGTGTATACCATAATATATTATATGTTCCATGTAAAGCTTCCAATTTGTAATACAATGCCAATTGTAAATTGTTCGATATTATTTTATCTAAGATATTGAGTGGTTTGAGACTCTTGTACCAAAAACTGAACCTCAATTGTGAGCAGTTTCCCTATCGGGTCGTCAAGTGGCTTGCTGCTCGGTGCGATGGACTCGTGATCTGTAGATCCGGGTTCGATCCCACTTGCGCCCATATACGCGATTTTTCGCGTTTAGGAAGCCGAAAATGGCTCCATCTGATGATTAAGAGAAGTTAAAAAGGCTTAAGGCTGTTTATAATCGATGTATTGATAGTATTATGAATTATTATTATAGTGTCTTTGCGCTACATTATCCAAAGGATGGATAGAAGGCGTCTAACTTCCCTCACCCGAGAAAAAAAAAGTTTCCCTATCAACTTGCATTTATATAAATGTATGTAAATTTTGAAAGTTTGATGCAATAAGAAAAGGGTTTGACTAATGAAATAAATTTGGGTAAATGTAGTGCTTTATGATAGTTTATCATGTAAATATTATGACAATATAATATTTACATCTCGAAATTTAATTAAATAACGTGAAAAATACGAAAATATTTCTTTATTGCTGGTATAAATATTTATAATATTCGGGGTTTTTGTTCTTCCGTTTTTCTATGCTTCTCAGCTTCTTCTTTATCGCTGAAATACTCAAATGTTTCATCAGAATCTTCCATGTGAACATTTGATTGATTACTTGTTACTTGTTTTGTTTGCTCATTGTTGTTGTGTTTTGGCATTACTTGCTTATAAATTGCCATCGCCTATAGAACGCAAAAAAACAAAAAATCTTGATATTAAAATTTTAATGAATAATAAAAAAAACGAACAGTGAGCGACAAACCTGTGCTACAAATGTTGGAACGTCTCCTACATTACTTGGTAATATCAATGTATTATTAACTTTTGCTAATTTGTTGAATGCATTGACATATTGTTCTGCTACGCTGAGTGCTGCTGCGTTTTTTCCATCCGCGACGCCAAGGGCATTTGCAACTATTTGTAATCCCTTCGCTCGTGCCTCCGCCACTGTTACTACCGCTGCGGCTTCTCCAGTGGCTTTGTTTATTTGTTCTTGCCTTGCTGCTTCTATAGTAATAATCAAGTTTATTGTTACAAAAATTAAATTTCTCACTAATTTTGTATTTACATATGCGTTATTAAATTGCTTTTTCAGATAAATTTAAAAAGCAATGTGCAAGTTTACTGTGAATAGAAGCTATATTTAATATGAATAGTACAGCACCAGAAGCTAAAATTCGTGCGAGTCGTTTGCCCTCAGCTACATTTATCTCAGCCTCCCTAATACCTTCAGATTCCAATATCGTGGCACGTTTCTTTCGTTCGGCTTCTACCTGCATTTGCATTGCTTCCTGTACCCTTGATGGTAATTTTACATCCCCTAAAATATAAATATACATTTGATAAATTTAATAAAGAATATTGTCCATTTGTCTATTTTTTGGATAGAAATTTTTCTAGTTTTAGCCGAGCAACCCGAGATATCTGTTACATAAGGTCTGTTTGCGTTGCATACACTTTTTGTACTCAGCATCTTTGCTTTCTCTCTTTTCAAAGTCCAAATATATAACTATCTTATTTTAAGTGCAAAAATATTTGGGGATTTCAAGCGATGCAAACAGACCAATAATTACTACTTTTACAACTTACGTATCTCATATCTCAGACACGTTATTCCCCATGCACTGCTTGCCTTGTTGATACTTTCAACAATGGAAACGTTTAATTCTTCCCTTTCCCTGAATACTTTATCTAAAGATATTTTTCCTAGCTCAGATCTCATGGTAGTTTGAGCTACTTGAATTACTGCAAACTCAGCATCCTCAACGCCATAGGATGCTAGATAAGGATCTGTTATTCTTAAATACAACACTGCATCGATATTTAAAGTCACATTATCTGAAATGAAAAAAAAAGTTTTATTACAAATACCGTGTCATAAATATATAATATTCTTAAAGTTCGTATCGGACAGTATACCTACCTGATGTAACTGCACTTTGTTGTGGCACATCTATTGCTAATTCCTTTAAAACTTGCACGTACTTAACTCTATCGATGACAGGAAGCAAAACGTTCAGACCTGGTTCTAAAATTTTATGAAACTTCCCCATTCGTTCTACGATCCATGCCTAAGTAAAACGCTTTCCTTTAGGCTAGTGATTGCCAAATTAATTTTATATGTAGTTTTACTTCAAATAATTTAATAAATTCTAAGTCGAATAAAAAGTAACTTGACATTAATCAGAAGTATCTACGAATAATGCAGTAACATACGTTACAAATATATTATCCATTAAACAATGACAAACCTGTTGTTGAGGAACAAACATTATGATAGTGTTTATCGGATTTAACGGTTTGTATCGTGAATTTTGCGTCACCGAGCTAAACAATTTATTTCCTACGCTCGCAAACACGTGATCCTGCAACGTGAAATATTCCGTGAAACTTATAAGAATTTAAAATCCTTTTGAAGTCAAAAACTGAGATATATTTCACCTTAACAAATCCCAAATTCCTCGCCAATATCATGGCACTACCAAATACCGTGCGTTTATACATCTTTTTATTAAACTGACTAAGAATATACGAAGAATATAATATAAATTGACAGATTATAGTTCTTCCTAGGTTATACGACAAGAATAACGCAATATTGGGAAACTAACCCGGCGTCGCCCAGCACAGAGTATGACGCAATAGAAGGAAAACTCCAGATAACTTGTCATCTGGAGCATGATGTGAGAATACAAAGGGGTTCGATTCGATATCTTGAAACGAGGTGAAAATTACAAAAGTGAACGAATTTACTAGAATATTTGTAATTTCATTGGTCAATATGTAGTAAATTTGCTCACTTTAATTTTCATCTTGTTTTAAGGATCGACAGGAGGAGTGACGAGCCAACTTATTTATGGCTCCAGGGAGTCAATTGTGAATATTCTAGTGAATTTGCTCACTTTTGGAATTTTCACCTCATTTCGATGAAGCACGGACAATAGGAACAGGAAATAATCACCATCTACTTGGAAAAAAAATCATGGCGCAAGCAAGAATGATCGCATTCAGCAGACTCAACTGTTGCGGAGCGGATCAATGAGCTCTCGCTGCTATTGGATGATCTAAAAGAATACACCAATAGCAGTGAGCGCTCACGGATCCGCTCCACAACAGTTGAGTCTGCTGAACGCGACCAATGACGCATGCACATCGCGTCGCCTGGAAGTAACTAGGACCAGAAAGTTACTAGATAAATTACGGTGTGCCATCTTTCGGGAGCCGTCCGAGAAATCCCCGACCCCAACGCCAGATGCCCTATTTAATGGCAACGCACGTTCTCTCTTAACGCATTTTCAATAAGAACACTGTGATCGTAACGAGATGTGGTTTTTGAGTGTGTGAAAAAAAAAAAGTGTGATTCTGCCGTGTGACAAGCGAGACTGACGTTGTGGACACGAGCGCTGGCACGCAACGTATCGTCTCGCAGGTGAGAGATCGTTCGCGCGATATTGCGCATTTCGCGACACCGTCCGTATTTTGCGCACGTAGAAATATCATCTACGAGACGTTCCGGAGCAAAATATACGCCGTAACGCGCATTTATGACGTGCGCGTATACGTGAACGTACGTACGCCCGTCGATGACAAGACGTCGTGTCGCGCGGAAGCAATAAATATGCGCAGATTCGAAGACGAAGAACTGACAGCTCGAAAGAGATCGGAAGCTTATGTAAGACGCAGTGACGACCCTGCTGTGCTCGCCGTGCCGCATTTCCGCCGTTGCGATGCGCCGGTTACCATATTGTACGTCTGACGTTTGCCATTTGGCCTCCGCGGCTCCGGAGCGTCATCAGCTTTCTATTCTTTCTAACGTCGATCTCTCGGGAACGCGACATCGGAGTCGGGAGACTGACATTTCAGACGGGAGATGAGAATAAAAAGACAAATCTTCGATCGGAATGAGAGCGCGAAATATCGGAGGCGATAAAGCATTTAGAATCTATTAGTGAATAATTTTAAAGGCTATTTTTCGGATTGCGAATTAAATTATTGTTCGAGTGCAATCGTTTTTCAATTCGTTGTATACGCAGGTCTGTTTTCTTCATTGAACTTCTTGTATCTTTCTTGCTTTTCTGTCCAACGAGGAAAGAAGAAAGATGAAACGACGCATCAGAAGTTCCAACTGAAAAAGACAGACCAATATTGTATATAGTATGTAATATTTTATATATATATTCTATATTTATATACTTTATCTCCGGCTATGTGTAGAATATATATATATATATATATATGAAACGGAGACTTCAAGTGAGGAATGTAAGTGCCGATTTTGATGACTCGCCAATAGCTAGAGGTTTATTCACGTTGCTTGCACTTTTTATACTTCGCAATATCTTCGGTTTTTCTCTTTTTAACGTCCGAGGCTACATTCCAAAACGTCCTGACTGAGGAAAATTTTCTCGATATGTTACGTACTCTCTAAAATTTTTAGACTAAATTTCACTCGGATCCTTTTATCTCGTTTTAAATGTAAAAACGTTTGAAGATCGCAAGCAGCGCGGACCTTACCTACTCCGCAGAGAGCCAGGGATTGTTTCACTTGGCGAGGAAGTGCGCCTATACGGTCGGCGTTCCTGAGCCTCGCAGGGCCGCTGTGGGTGTGCGAGGCGAACACGGAGAAAGTCCCAGGGACGCGCGTATTCTCGCGTACCCGGCACGTTCCGCGTCGTCGCGAGACCAGGAGCCGAGATTTTCGTTCTAATTCGCGGCGTGGATTGAGTGAATCTTTAATAACAATAGGAAGAACGCGCGGGGCTTGACCAACCGGTGCAGCGTTCGCCCGGTTCTTCTGATCGCGCCAAGAGTCACCGGGAGAGAGAGAGAGAGAGAGAGGGGGGGGAGAGAGTCCGGATACTTCGTCTTTTCCTTTTTGTCCTTTAAGCAGCTGCGTGTCCGGACCTGCTGGGAATAAAAGAGGGCCCGACATCCGTGTTCTAACCGGCGAAACGGACGCGATGAATTTTCCGTAGCAACTACGGACTAGAGAGAAAGAGAGATAGAGATCGTTATTTATTAGGTGTCCTAGAATTGCATCCCCTCAAGCGTTGAAAATAATACACGATTAACAACAAAAATATAAAGAATTGTATTACGAACGGAATTCACAAAGTAAAAAAAAATAAAAAACTAGTAAAAAAATATAAAAAAAAAACGAAAAGAGAGAAAATATATGTGTGTCTGTGCCTTAGGCTCGATTTGCTCCAATTTTCTTATCACCGACGAGCATAAAAGTCGCTCTCGTTTCTGCAGTGTCGAAATCCGAGCTCGAACCAAACGAGATCGTATCAGTTTATTCGAATTCTCATGATTTTGCTTCCCTTTTTACTTCACGCTTCGCGAAATTGACGAGCTTAGATTTCGCGCTAAACGCAATGACCGATACGAATTTATTATTTATTTGTTTTTCGTTTGAACGCAATTTGCAGTGATGACGACAAAACAGTTGCACGCCAGTTTTGTTCCCGAACGATTTCGCGTTTTCTCTTCGCCGGTTTGTTCGTCGCGCGTTTCGATTAGTACGCGACGGTTCACATACGTTCGATTATGTATACGAAGTACCTAACGGATCTAGCTCGGAGCGTAGTGTGCACTATATGGCACGGTCGGAGGGCGCTTGACGGAGCTAATCGATGTTAACTGGTCGAGGAATTGGCCGTTCCTCTCGCTCTCGCGCGACGTAGAGAACCACGCGAAATGGATAGACCGAGCCGGAATGGATAAACAGACACGGGAGTGTCCGAGAAGCGTGCTTCGGAAAGAGAAAGAGAAAGAGAGAAGAAAATCTATTTCGCACTCTGGGAGAGAGAGAGAGAGAGAGAGAGAGAGAGAGAGAGAGAGAGAGAGAGAGAGACAGACAGATCCTTTCTCAAGCGTACAAGTTACAAAAATACTGCAAATTTAAGAAGTATACAAAATTGAATCATGATAAAATGTAACTAATATAAATTTTAGTATAAAAAAAAGAAAACGCTTTTCTTGAGAAAAGAGAGAAAGAGAGAGAGAGAAAGAAGAGGAGGAGGGAGAAGAGATAGAAGGGAGGGAGAAAGAGGAAAAAGATACTCGTTTGATTACGGACTCCCGGGAGTCCCGGCGGCAGCGCGTTGCGAAAATAATTCGGTCTCTTCCTCTTCATCGCGAATGAACATGAGCGGGCTAGATCGCATGCGCGCGTGCGAGAGAGGTTAGATGACGCTACTACAATGGCTGTGTTCCAAAATTGGCTGCCAGTACTGAGTCTATAGTGCACGTAACATAAACTGTAGTATTTTCAGGGCTGGAAGTAAATTTGGGACACAGCCAATGAAGGGCGAATCGTCAGATTTGTTCGCGTCGCATGCTCCAACATGTTCCAATATGCTCTTACTCGCTCCAATGCGCTTGATAGAGTGAGGAGGTATGGTAAGAGCATGTTGGAGCATGTTGGAGCACGTTGGAGCATGTTGGATCTTGCAACGCGAACGAACCTGTCGTTTCGGTCGCTGTAAGTCGCCCAGAGGTATGATGCTCGAGAGAAATGTTAAATTTATCTTATCTGGCGTACACCGAGCAGACGCTCGCGACACCACGATGATCTCGATGCGATTATTTTGGAAAAACTGACGGCGCTGTCTCATGGGATGCTCGTTCGTTGCATTTGCTTTGAATTTTTGATATTTCTGGATTATGTTGGCGATTCCTAATTAAGGACTAATTCAATATATAAATCTTATATCTTTATGTAGAGTTTATATGTCGATGACTTTCATATCAGAAGATCGATCAATGTACTTTGAAATGAGATGAAAATTACAAAAGCGAATTTATTAGAATATTTATAATTTTTCATTGAGCAACACCTACTAAATTTCTTCACTTTTGTAATTTTTATTTTGTTTCAAGATACATAATCGAATAAAGAAACCGAGGAAGAATCCAGTAGATGCAAACTAAAATAACGTGACGTTAATGTAATTTCACTAACAATATAAATGTAACACATGATGTTGCATATAAGAGTCACACTATTAAGTACGAAATTATAACATTGATATTATTGTTATTTCTAGTTGGTGTCAACTGGGAAGTAACTGTTTGATTTGCGATGCTAAATTAAAATATCGACTGTAAATTCTATTTATATTCTTTAAATTAAATTATTAATTATATTCGACAATTATAACTTTTATTTTATTTTTAATCAATGTGATTAGCACTCTCGACGACTGAACGTGATAGTCGGACAGCTGCAGTCATATTTCGTACTAATTGTGACTGAAATATGGGGACTGAAAGTCGACCAGGAACGAAATACGATGTACTGCCGCATAATTGCCTCTGCAATTATAAATAGCTCTTTTTAGATTTCGCTGCTTTGAGATACAGGCGTGCACTTACGTGCGCGAGAAGCAACGGCATATTTACGATCGCGTGCTAAAACGTCATCACAATTCCGGATAAAAAGAACATTCGGCTTAAATCTTACTACGTTGTGAAATTGCGTGATTATTTTATATTATTTTATTTATGTGACTCTAATTCACTCGCACTGGAATCTCGAAAATTTCTTCACTTCCTAATACTAAATTATTATTATTTGCAAATATTCTCCATCTATTTCACTTAATATTGTTTACTATTATTTGTTTATAAATACAAGTCTGTGTCGATAAATTGTTTTTGCGACATTTAGAGTGAATCTGACTATCGCCTTACGAAGACATTAGAAAACGATAGAGAAGAGAAAATTGCACGTTGTGAAACAGGATGCGTCGCATGACAATAATAATTTCCTCGTAAATGGTGACGTGCGAAGGGCCGCGGTGATTTTTTTTTCAAACAATACGGAACTGCGCTGAAAATAGACGGAGCGAGATTCTGAAGCACGCGGAAGAATAGGGCAGCAGAGAAACGATAGAGTAGACACTCGCGCTTTCACTAAAATCGCTTTCGCGAATCGCAAAACTTGTCGCAAACTCCGCCTGTATGCGCAAAAGGAAAATTTCACGAATGTTTGCTCCCACGCTATTCCGAAAATTGTTTTACAGCGAGGACTATTCAGCTTTCACGCGCGTCTCAAATCTGTCGTACGGTATTCTTATAATTTTACGCGAGGAAAGTCTCTCGACTTTAACTGCAGCGAGGTGTTAAACATGCATACTGCCTGCATACTTGAAAGGTCTTTAAAAATAACATTGTCTAACGGATGGGAACGTTTATTGTGCACTACGATCGCGTGAATTTCCGATTGCGCATCGCCGACGTTGTAGAATTACAATAATGCATAGAGTATTACAGGTTTATCATATATAAAGAGAATACAAAGAGAACATGAAGAGATTAACATAGTTTTTTATAATAACTTTTTTATTGTTCATTGACGTATCGTTACTTTTATGAAATTTAATAATTGTAATCGCGTACGTTAAATTATAACGAAAATAAAAC